CACTCAAACCTCTCAATGAAGTCCCAGCAAGTGATCTAAAAACAATCTTTAAATCAAAAATCACATATCAATGGAATGAAATTTGGCAAAAGAAGAACTCTAAATTATTGGAAATTAAACCTAGTTTCAGTTCGTGGGCCACCGCGTCACCTACCCGCTCACCACAAGTTTGTCTCACAAGATTACGTCTGGGTCACACTCGCTTAATTCATGAATATTTGCTCCAAAACATACCAGAACCTGATGTTTCGCGTGTGAAGTGTGGTTAAGTGTCAAACACATCTTGGTGGAATGTCCGCTATATCAAAACGAAATAATCAACAACAATATTCCATTCAACTTACCGGACATCTTCCAGAAATACAGTTCAAGGAACAATGTTAACTTTCTACAAAAAACAAATCTCCTACATAAAATTTAAAACATTAATAATGTAATTGTATAATCATACTCATTTGTAAAACTGTTTATGTCAGCTAATAACCAAATGGTTGATGCGGTATTCTAAAAAAAAATAATAATACTCTTCCTAATTCACCCCTAAATATATTCTAGAAACGCTGTTTGCATTTATTATTTGCCACGAACAAATTTACAAATAGTTTAGAATTATGTTTACTTCCATAAATATTTTTGTGCTACGAATAATCCCATAAATTATTAGATGGTATATTCTGTAAATTAAGGAAACCAGAAATGTGAGTCTCCCGCTGATATAACTTTTAAAGTTTCCGTTAATATTTCTCTTCACATATTTTTATTCATTTGAACGTTATTGTTAGCGATGAAAGTTATATCACTATTATACTAGTAAATGTCAACACAACTAAGATATAGGTCTATTGAGCTGTAGAGAAAGATAATTCTTTCTATTTTGTGTACTAGACGGAATTTTTTATCCAAAATAAGCATAAATTCTATTCGTAAAACTTCTAGAATCGTAACTAACGTTGTTTAATAAGCACTGTATTGTTGGAGAAGTGTTTGGGAAATTAACCCTATGTTTATTGCCTATATATGCAAATTTTTTCTATTATGGCTCTGCATGTTATGAACCATATCTCACCTAAGAATCACGTCTATTGTATCTCTGATATGTGTACAGCGTAGGTAGATTTTCAACAAAGAAACACTTACATTTTCTATAAAAAACTGTATGAAACGTAGATGATATGTTGTCAATTATTAATATATCTCTTTTAGAGCGAAAGAGAAAACTCTTATGAACCGAAAACCCGAAAATTGCAAAAATTCCTAATCAATTTGGACAATGTAATGTTCAGAGGAAATTTTATTCAAATTACATGAAAGTGAATGATTACTAGTTTGTATATATAATCATGATATGATTTTAATATTTTATAAACTAATCACATGAATATCACCCAGAAGAGGTTCATCTTGTATTGTGATGTTACACTAAGGGCCAGTTTTTCAATCACAGTTTAAACTTTCATTTACCTGAACTTGGATCAAATGTAAAACTGAGATTAACATCAATGTCGTTTCAATCATGTCAATATCACAGTTCAATTTACGTTGGTAGTTCTGAATCGAGGGAGGTTGAGCCTACCATCTTGGATGCTATTTTTATTTTTTTTCGAAATACTAGTCCCGCACTTACAGGTAAGGAAATCCCGGAAAACCCACCCACCATCATAATTCGATACCCCTAGTTTGTGAGCAGCGCGCAAATTAATGTGTTTTTTTTTGCATTTTCATGGATCTGTTAGCGTATTGACGTCTCTTTTTAACTACACGCATTCGCAAAATCCTCTAGCTCGTCTGGGCTCACTCCTTATAGCGCGCCACAGACACAGTATACTTAATCCTAGACTGCACTCCTGATTTATCGCCCCGCACATTAGATCCTGTAAAATTAAACCCAAATTATTAAGTTTTGCAATTATAATTTTAAACATTTGCTTCCCTGTCGACCTTTCAACTGGAAGAAAACCTAAAAAGCTTTTATTAATTTTAATTTCAACCTCATCCTGATTGGAATCAGTTTTATTGATTGAAATATATTTGATTACAAGAGTAATTTGCTCCAGTTTAGAAATATCAGGAGTGCAATCTAAAATTATCGAATAATATTTAGCGTTTTTTATTTTATTAATCTATTATCTCGTTTTGAATAATTTTTCCAAGATAGTGAGCTTTCGTTTCTTATTTTTTAAGCACCCTAGGTACGTGTTCTTCCATGATGGGATCAAATTCAGATAGCAGCTCAACTAATTTTAAGAAGTTAGCGTTATTATGCTCAAAAAGCTTGTCGTTTGTACCTTGGAAAGCCACACAATTTTTAACAAGCATTTTAGTGATTGTTACGATTCTTAAAAGCACTTCTTGCCATGCAATGGCTTATTTCAGCGTTAATATGTTATTTCTGTTAATATGACAAATGGTAAACTTCCTCCCTAGACAACAATTTCTCCTTTTTTATGCAAATTTAAATCTTTTAAACCATTTCTGACATAAAACACACAAATTATCCTTGTTTTATTTTATAAATTATTAAAGTCATAAATTATTTTTAAAATAGTTATTTTATCTGTATCTTCTAAACTGATTTTTAAATTTTATAGATTTTCGTTAGTGGTTCGTAAAAAAATATACTTTGCAAACTTCATATTCGTGCGATGTCTTATAATTTTGTAGTTTTATACAATTTGATTCTGATGGAGCAAATTACGAAATGTATATAAAAGTTAAGTCGTATAAAGCCATTGTATTTTGTCGAACGCGTGTAAAACTTTAAGACCCATCAAAAAAGATGTAAACATTATTTATGTCTAAACTTGATGACTTGTTAGAAACACATTTCGTAAATATCAATCGTTCTTATTTCACTGGACCCTTTTTTATTAATCGCTTTTCTCTGATTTCCTGTAAACATGTGTAATAACAAGACATGACAAGTATAAGATATTGCATTATAATTTTGAACGCTGCATGAATGATTGAAAAAATATCATTCTGTCGTACTGCTTTTGCGATGAAACGAATAATAAATGGTTTTTTTTCTCGTAATTTTTTTACCCTTTGTTATTTGGTTACCATTTTTTCATAAATCACGCAAAGAAAATACATACAAATAATAGCAAATACTTCTTTAACCTGTCCGAAAGAGAACGACTTGCAAGATCAAATAGGGTGTTTTTCAACCCCAAGGAGAAAATAGTGGCAATAAAATGTTGTTACATGCTTTGGAGCATATTTCATTTCGTGAAGGGCGAAATTTGCATTCTGCTCTCCTACTATTTATAATTAATTAATTAATTTATTATAAAATAATCCTTGAAACATGAATTAATTGATGAAATTTTAATAGTGAAACAATTTTTAATTAACAGTCAAAATAATTAAGAATTTTCTTCATTTTCATTGGACACTTGGAAGGGTTTAAAACAAATTGAACGGGGTTTCCGAATTCTGCCACAAACTTCAGGTAAAGAAAAATTGATATACGAACTCTGCCACGGATTACAGTTTTATATTCTTGTATTTTCCTGAACCATGCTTGGCAGAGATGAAATTTGCAACCCAAAAGAATAAGATCTCTCCCAAAATATTTATATATTGCGTTTAAATTTAATTTAAAATCTACCACAATCTCTATTGGTTTAAAATTTAAACCAAAAGCTTTACACTTATTACTTAAAAGGAGGAATACATTGTAATATGTGTCACTTGATTTATCAGGTAATAAACAAAAAATAATCGGTACATAATAACCGTTTTTAAAACTATGAATCGTAAACATTTGGTAAAAGAAATTTGTACAAAATTTGAATGTTTCGTCCATCAAAATACTGACAACTGACTGACACAAAAATGTTAAATTTGAAAAACAGGAAAACACAATTATTTTTTTATCTACAACATTCATGTAATGACACTGATTTGACACTTATTTAAATTTTGTAATGACGTACATTACCGCACTAGATGAATATTTTTTATATTTAAATAAAATAACACATTTTTTTGACAAATTTTATAATACCTATTTAATGGCAAACAATAAAAAACAACAATGAACTAAAATACAACAAACTACTTATTGATATTTATTATTCGCGAATTTAATATCCGGCTTTATCTGACATTTATTTATATTGGTGACAGTTGTTTACCCCGTAATCACAGTAACAATATATTTACTTGATTTTAATTTGTGGCAGAATTCGGATGCGCCCGTCTAGAACTTCTGAAAATATGCCAGTTTTATTTTGTTATTCGAGAGATTTTTCTCTCATATCTGCTCCATAAAAGTACAGGTTTGCTAACAAAAATTGGTACCTCAGATAAATCTGTGATTTTTTTTTGTGATTTCTAACCGATATTATTATTTTTCTTACTTTTTGTTTTTTATGTTTAGGACAGAAATGTGATAATTATTAATTATATTAAAGTGAGTGTGTTGGATTTATAATATATATTATTTTTGTCCAAAATCATTTTCGTCTGTATCCTTTTGTAAAATTACATTTGGCGCGGACACCCGAGTAAAACACTTCTTACAAACATTAAAAAAAATCCTACTATATTTTTAACATGTGTATCATACACCTTCTTAAACCCAATACACATTGTTCTCTTAACTGGTTTCCCAACCCTTGTGACAATTCGTGTACATTTGATATCTGAAACTTCAGCACTGATTGCTTTGAAACTATCTTGAACCTAATGTAGGCGTTAGTTGTCTATGAAGCAGTGATGTTAAATACCATAGCTGAAGAACAATTACATTCGCCCCATTCTTTTTTAGAACATATTATTAATGGATAGATAACATTCATGAGCGTCACTAATTTTTTTTTTTTCATCAAAACTAATAAATTAATAAAACACAGTTTTTTTAAAGCCATTCAGTCATCATTTAATATTCTTCTTTCTTTATTTATTAAACATAATACATTCAAAAGAAAATTTGGTAAATTGTACCCTTGTTAAAAACACGAAATTGTTGCCAGTGGCGTAGCTAAATGCTAGTCTTAAGAGAAAAATCGCAATATGATATAAGTTGTAACTTCTTTTATTATGTCCTTGATTTCATCAGTATCACTTTTATGTCGATTATTATTTTCAGGAAGATTATAAATCATGATACTGCTTGTTCTTTTTTGGCGATTGTTTAAATCCTTGATGATACTTGCTTCAGATACCGCGACTCCATGAGGTTTATCAAGTAGAGACTTTAATTCCGTTTCCAATTTGTCAGTTTTCGCAATCAGAGAAGGAATCAGCCTGAAACCAGACTGACAGTCCTCACAATCAAATCTAAGAAGTCTTTTACCCTTCAAGTCCATGACTTTTAGTTCAGAAGCGTTGAGATCGGAGCATTCTCTGTGGATAACTCACAGATATCATAAATCAATGTAGCAACATCCTTACTGAGTGGCTCTTCACAATTATAACAAACCATCATAATTTTCATCAATTATTTAAAATAAAATAAAAGAAACCTAGTTAAAAAATTGTCCTACCACTGGACGCAATATAATGGAAAAAGGTTTTTTTCGGAATCCTTCTTTGTTAATGTAGATAAGAATAGGTCCAAAAAAATTACAGCAAATTACACATATAAAATGGTTCTCCAAATAATCTTTTTAAATAGCACTCGTTCTTCTTAAATAGTATCAGTCAAATTTTATCGTGCTCTTTCAAAATAAAGACGTTTTCGTCGAAACTCAATATTTAATTGATAAAACTTGCTAGTTTTAAAGTCATTCCTTAGATAAAAAAACCATCTTAATTACAATAAATATTTATCGCAAATGTATGTTCTCTCGAAATACAGAAACACTTTTATGGGTACAGATACATTTTCTCAGTTTATTAGTCTATGAATATTCTATTAACGATTACTGTAGAAACATCATATTTTCAAATAAAGTAATGTATTTTCTTTTTTTTTTACTAAAAATATTCAATATCGTCTTACCTTCTTATTATACGTATCACCATTTTTACTGATATTTTTACTTATATTTTTACTTATATTTTTACCTATATTTTTACATACTTATATTTTTATATCCTTATATTTTTATTTATATTTTTACTTATATTTTTACTTATATTTTTACTTATATTTTTACTTATATTTTTGCTTGTAATTTTTACTTGTAGTTTTGCTTATAATTTTTACTTCTAAATATTGTTCTATAATTCTCTCAAATGCATGATTTTTTCAATAAAGGTTTATATTTTTTCTTTTAGTATTTAAATATTTTAATAATTCTATTTTTTAAATCAAAACAAGTGTCTCAACATTTATTAATTAACCTTTATTTCTAGATTTTGTCTTTTTTATACATTTACTGTAATTTGTATTTATTGTGAAAATAAAGTTATTATTATATTTTATTTAACATTTCAGTCATTATCATTTTGTTTGTTGCTGCCTTTAAATTATTAAAGGCAGCTGTATAAAGATATTTTTTAAATCGATCCAGACAAGATTGACAAATAATGAAATGAAGCCATTTTTCATTCGATTCAAAGATTCATATCTCCTGAAAGCAGTGTGAATAAAAATAAATATTCGGCGGTGCACCTTTAGAATGTAAGCAATAATTTAAATGCGCCAAGTGACAAAATTAGGGGCTGAAGGTAGCCAGGTTAGGTTATCGTTGACTAAATCTAACAACCCTAAAAAACGGCCGAATTTACTGTTTCAAATGTTAATTTGACAGACCAAACAAATATATACGCATTTAGAGAAAAACAAATCATTTTGTACAGGAATACAATGTAGTGGAAGATAAAGTAGGGTGTGCTAATGATTTACAATTTCGTTTTTTAACGAGTTACATTTTCTGAAAATTAAGGGAGAATGCTTGAGAGACTTAAGCGAAATTCATTTACCTACAATATTTTTTTTTCTATGGGTCAATACGACAACAAAAAACGTCTCATTTTTTTTTTGTTTTCATCGTCTTTTACCAATTTTTTCAGTTGTCTCTATCCATTTGTAAATTTGTAATCAGGCAATTTAGTTTTTTATCCTGTGTTCTGTACCGGTCCCATTTTGTATTACTGTTTCTGAAATACTTTTGCGGTTATGATCCTGTTTTAATGTAGCTTTTTTTCAAGTTTAAAAAACATAAATAATTGTTGGTATTGTAATAATAGCCTTGTATATATTTGATAGTTTTATTTCCTTCTTCCCAAATGCTAATTTTGAATATGTGAAAAAAGTTGGTAACCCTATTAAAAAAGACTCAACTCATGGAACACCCTGTATATGAATATACAACCTATTGTGTATACAAGTTAAAAAACCTTTTTATCATGAGGCCTTAATACACTACATAGAACCGTCAGGAATTTTAACGTGGTAACCAGAAAACACGAAAATATCTTTCCGCTATTTACCCATAATTTAAATCAGATACAGCATCCGAAAAGAATTTATTTCGATTAGTTGTTCTATAATATATCATTTTGTTTTATGTTTAATGACTTAAATATCCGATATCATGGAAACAGCGATTTATTTATTATTTTCCTTTATCTCTGATCCTAGGCTCAAACCCACTGAAATATGTTTTGTGTCTTCCAAAGATATTCTTTATTTATTAAAAAGTTAGCCAAACTTTATACGATAAGATTCAAAGTCAATAACATGCGTATATATAAAATAGGAATAAGATTAAACAGTCTAAAACTTTATAAAAAAGATAGAAAACTGTTTCTGAAAGTTGCCCATGAAATTTTATATTATGGTGTTCTTCAAGGTACTGTTTTTGATCCCATACTCTTTAATTCGTACATAAACGGTCTTTTTTCAGTACAAAGTTGCATTGAAATAATTTTTATTTACTAATTATGAGGTATATGTATAATAATTTATGATGAAAATGATTGGAATAATCTAAAATCAATAAATAAAAATGCTTCTATTAAACAAGTCTTGGACTAATCAGCTGCAATGCAGGTAGATTACCAAGATTTTATAGTTTAAACATCAATATTCAGAAATATGTAATATTCTACAATTGATGTATATACCTATTGATAGATATATTTAATTAAAATGGGATTCTTACGTAAATTATACTTAAAGACACATTTAGATTTTTAAAAAACTTTGGCCCCTGGAACACTTGGAACACCTGGAACTTTTCTCTTGAAAAACTCAAATAATATAGGATTCTTCGATACATTTCCATACCAGCCTCGACGTAATTTTCTGAGTCGATATGGCCTTAAGTGCAGCTTGGCTGTCTGACATTATTTGAATATGCTGATTTTCGACAGCTCTGTCATTGTTCATTCTTGCACATTGCAAAATTGCGTATACCTCGGCCTGAAGTACCAAGAAATGTATTCCTATAGCATAGCTATGGATAGTATCAGGGTTTTTGGAGAATACTCCCGCCCCAGTGCATTCCGCAGTCTTAGACCCGTCTGTATACCAGGTTTGTTCCTGTCGTTGGGCATTGGGCTCCCTTATGGTGATTTCCGCTCTTTCCTGTATTAAAACCTCAAATGGAGTATTAAAAGAGTACCTCTTGGTTTTGTGGTCTGATCTCATGTCTAGCACGTCTCCTGTCACTAACCTTGAGATACTCATGTGACTGGCCTAATGTCAAGATTTTCCACTGTATTCCCTAATCTATAAGCACCTAATCTTGCCTCCCCTTGTATCACATAGTGAAGAGGTCGGAGTCCTATTAGTGCTTCCATTGCAGCTGTGGGGGTTGTTTTCATTGCCCCCGTTATTCCGAGGCAGGCAGGTCTTTGTACCTTGCTTAGCCTCGTTATTGCTTTCCTTTGCTGTGTCTTTGGCCACCACACCAAAGCTGCGTATGTTATTATCGGTCTCATCACCATGTCTGGTTTTAACCCCCATTTTTTTTCCAAAGGATCGCCTTGCCATCATTAACGAGATTTCCGCTCTCCTTGTGGTTTTTTCTAGATGCTGGTTCCAGGTAAGTCTCGAGTCAATCTTAACCCCAAAATATTTTACCTCTTCCTAAAGCTGGATGCTTGCACCTCTTAGGTTTAGAGGCCCTAGTCCCTCCAATTTCCTCCTGCGGGTGAATGCAATTATGTCAGATTTGTTTGGGCTAATGTTTAGTCCTTCCGCCTCTGTCCATTTTGTTACTATATTTAGAGCCTCTTGCATTCGATCTCTTACTATAGTGTTGTATTTTCCCTGTGCCATGATTACTAGATCATCGGCATTTCCCAGGGTTCTATGTCCCTTATCTTTGAGAGCCCGTCCACTACAAGGTTCCACAGGAATGGAGACAGCACTCCACCCTGCGGACATCCTCTCGCTACTCGTGCCGCTATTGTCTCTCCCATAAGGGTTATGTGTATAGTTCTCTCCCTTAACATAGAGTCGATCCAGGACACGCACGTGTCCTCGATTCCTCTGTGTTTCAGAGATCTAATGATCGATTCAACGAAGGTATTGTCAAATGCACCCTCGATATCCAAGAATGTTCCCAGCATTACCTCCTTGTTTTCCAGTGTGTTCTCCACCCCTTTTATTAATTGATGGAGAGCTGTTTCAGTTGATTTCCCTGCACTATAGGCGTATTGGTCTTGGTATATTGGCCTCTGAACCAATATCCCGTCTCTAATATGCCTATCTTGCAGTATTTCCAAAGTCTTAAGTACAAAGGACATAAGACTTATTGGTCTTAGGGACTTTGCCGTTTCCTGTCCTATTTTCCCAGGTTTTGGTATAAAAGGTACTCTAATATTTTTCCAAGCTTCTGGTATGTGTCCAAAGGCCAGGCTACTTCTGAGTATGTTACAGAGTCTGCTATATAAAATATCAGGACCTCTTTGTAACATTATTGGATAAATCCCGTCCATGCCTGGTGATTTATATGTTTCGAATGAGCTAATTGCCCATTTCAGTTTACCATAGTTTACCACTTGTTTGCCTATCCTCCCTGTTGGCTCTATTATGAGCTTCCAGTCCGTTTAGCCGGTGTGTATGCTATGGTTTGTGCACCAGGGAAGTGAACCCTGAAGAGTTCCCTTACTGTTTCCTTCCCTGTGATTGTGTACTCCCCCAGTTCATTCTTAAGGGTGTTTATTATGTGTTGTGTGTCTTTTGAGAGAATTTTTTGGAGCCTGGCACATTCTTGAGATATTGGAGCTTACAATTCTTCTTCTTTTTAAATGTCAGTTTGGATTTAATTCAGAGTCGTGCCGGACCAACTTTAGAAACATTGTTTGTGGATTTGATCTAACTAAAAGCAAACTCTAAATTTTTAATAAAAATATTGGGTTAAATAAAGAACCACTAAAAAACGACGTATTTAGAGTTAATTTATTAATT